TCACTGTACCACACCATTGTTGTGTCACTGTACCACATCATTGTTGTGTCACTGTACCACACCATTGTTATGTCACTGTACCACATCATTGTTGTGTCACTGTACCACATCCTTGTTATGTCACTGTACCACATCATTGTTTGGAGGGCGCCACTGGTAGGTCCTACTTCTTTATTTTCCCCTCTGTTGTTTCTGTCTGTCTGTCTGTCTGTCTTACTTTTTCCTAGCACTAGATGACCATTATTGTGTCGATGTGCTTCTCTTTACTTAAACAAACAAACATCATTGTTGTGTCCCTTAATCATTAATCATATCATTGTTGTGTCTCACTTTACTACATCATTGTTATGTCACTTTACCACGTCATTGTTATGTAACTTTATCATACCTTTGTTATGTCACTTTATCATATCTTTGTTATGTCACTTTATCATACCTTTGTTATGTCACTTTATCATACCTTTGTTATGTCACTTTATCATATCTTTGTTGTGTGCCACTTTACCACATCGCTTTTATATCACTTAACTTGTTTGTTACGTCACACACCCCGGGGCGGTGCCATTGACTGAAGTGTATTTAGGCCATTCCCAATGGGGGGACATTTCTCATTCTAGTGCACAGTAGAATTGTAAATGGGCTGATCTAACAATGTCATGATCATAACTGTGCCTGACAGGAACTGCTGCTTTTTCTTTCCTAATCCTTACTATCGTCATTTCCTCTACTTCTTTTGTGTCTTTGTCACACTCTTGTGACCCGCTATTTCCGGGGTGCCTTGATAGTCGAAGCAGACTTTGTGCTACTGAAGCTAGAGAGGTGAGCAGAGTAAGTCTGATTCCCTGTAAGGACTTCTCTGTTGACATCCACCCCTTGGCGCTCATATGACCTTATGCAGTTGTGAGCACCGTAAAACCTCTACTAAAACTAAAACTGTTACGTCACTTTACTTTACTCCATTCCCTACCCACCCAGGGCAGCGCTACTAACTGAAGTTGTCTCTAGGACATTCCCTAAGGGGGGATTTTGACATGTTCTTATGCACAGTAGAATTGTAAGTTTGCTGATTTATCAATATGCTCATGCTGTGCCGGAACAACACAGGGACAACTGCTGCTTTTTCTTTCCTCATCCTTACTGTGGGTGGTTGGGGGGTGCTATGGTGTGGTTTGCTTCTTCTTTCCTATCAAATATCTATCATCCTTATCTCCCCTCCTTCTTTTTTATCTTTGTTACTCTCTTGTAACACCTCTAATCTTCTTGCGCTCATATGACCTTATGCAGTTGCGAGCGTCGTAAAACCTCTACCAAAACAAAGCAAATCATCCTTAATATCGTCATTTTCCTCTACTTCTTTTGTATTTTTGTCACTCTCTTGTGAACTGCCATTTCCGGGGTGCCTTGATAGTCGAAGCAGACTTTGTGCTGTTGAGGCTAGAGAGTTGAGCAGAGTAAGCCTGATTCCCCTTTTGGACTTCTCTGTCGACATCCACCCCTTGGCGCTCATACGACCTTATGCAGTTGTGAGCGCTGTAAAACCTTACTAAAACAAACAAACTTTACCACATCATTCTTATGTCACTTTATCATCTCTTTTTATCACATCATTGTAATTGTTATCTCTCTTTATTATATTATTGTTATATATATATATTATATATATATATATATCACTTCAGGTCTGGTCATGGAGGTTTTGCAGTGCTGCCACAAGCCTGGAGACTATGTCCTGGAGTCCTGTGAGGATGTCGTCACCGACAAATTTGCTGTTCCAGACAAACCTTGGTGTGTGCTGTAGCGGACAGTACTGTCAGTGATGCGTCCAACGGGCGGCCAGACGGGACCTGCTTTTCTTGGATTACCCCCCAGGGCGGTGCCACTGATTGAAGTGTCTTTAGGCCATTCCCAAAGGGGGAACATTTCTCGTTCTAATGCACAGTAGAATTGTAAATGGGCTTATCCAACAATGTCGTGCTCATAACTGTGTCTGAACTACAACAGGGAACTGCTGCTTTTTTTTTTTCCTAATCCTTACTATCGTCATTTTCTTCTACTTCTTTTGTATGTTTGTCACACTCATGTGACTCGCTGTTTCCGGGGTGCCTTGATAGTCGAAGCAGACTTTGTGCTGTTGAAGCTAGAGAGGTGAGCAGCAGTGCTGTACCCCGGTAGCAAACCCGCTGTGCTCGCAAGCCCCTAGTTCAATTCACAAGCCTCAAATCACTAGGGAGTTCCAGATTTTAGGGTCAAATAATGAGAAACTTTTCTCACCAGACTCAGAAACCTTACAGTGCTGCTGTACTTCATGGTGATCGACTTTATGCTTGGAAATTCAAAACTTTTATAGAATTGCTATGGACATGATGCTGTTCCTATTTTGAGACACAGCTATCGGACCATGTGGTCATTTGTTCAACGGATGGCTAATCTGTTGTGACTGCTTTCAAAATCTGGAACGTGGCACTTGCCAAGTCACTCCCAATTTTACCTGTAATTGTCTCTTACTATGAAGTACAGTACCCTTTTTTATTTAAAAAGGTGTGGGCTGTCAGGTTATACACATTTAATTTTCTTTGATAAAAAAAAGGAGCTTATGTTTGTTTGCCCTTGAACATGTTAAGACGTTTTGAAAATCAAAAGATAGTTCAAGCTTTTTTTTGTCTTCCCTGTCATTATTTCTCGATTGTCTCTTAGCATGATTGGTCTCTGTGAGCTCATCTGTGATTAGAGCTTCTTTTTCTACTATCTTAAACTTCTCACGGTCATCACATCTATCTGATCTTGGCCTAAGAAATGAAATGTTATACTCTGTGTTAAAGATTCTATTATAGAATGACTTTTTGACAAGAAACTTGTCATCAAGTTTTGTTGACGTCACTTCCTAACAACGAAGTTCAAACATGTTAGTGATATATTTATGTTTATGCAAACATCCATCCAGATACACTCTTTTTGTTCTGGCCCTGCAATAGTGCTTCTCCACTTCTGGGAAGGATTCCATGTGCTTCTTAATATTTTATTTCACTTCATCGGTCATTTTCTTTTTTGTGTGCTTTCCTTTTTGCACAGATTAGGGACATTTTGTAGTAAGAGCATCTTTCCCAGTCAGGACTCTATAGATGACAGACTGGGATATATCCACAGTTCCCAAAAGAAACGGCTCACAGACTTGGAAACTTCCTTCTGGTGATGAGTAATAGTATGTAAATGAAGCTCTTTGACGAATGGTCTCTGTGCCTCGATTTTGTTATGGTGACATTAGGTGTTCTAACAATAAAATTGTCCTTGCCAACAGCGGTCTCAACCTGGACTTTGTCAAAAATAGCCTGTCTTTCATCTTCAATGAAAAATTGACTATATTTAAATTTACAGCTAGCGCTAGAGTTCTTGAAAGTCCTCATTGATCTGGCTGCTCAGTAGATTGTTATAATGGCAAGGGAACGAACCTGAGAGAAAGATCCTGATTGTCGCTAGGCTGTGGGTTAGTCAGGTTAGGCAAGCAGCTCCCTTTTAAAAGAAACAGTGGAAGCGATTCAGTTTGTAGCTTGGCATCCTGATTTTAACATTATTTTCCTCATAGAATGCTACCTGTCCACTCATCTGGTCCCCCCTGGGAACTAAAATGGCTAGTGCAGTCCTACAAACCTGGAGGTGACATTCTCTGACAAGGCGGAGCGTGCAAACTTACTAAATGTATACACACATCACGCCTGAGTCTTGACCAAGAAACCTTTCGATTCCCTTCGCTTCGAACCTCAGCTCGGTCGGATGTTGTGTCCTCGAGAAAGGCGCTTTGCACAAATTTCCCATTTGGCATGATTTGGCTTGGTCTTGTCATAGATGGACTTTAAACTCAGAAGTCCCGCCTCTTAAATAAGTTAATAATCGTGTTGATAGGGGGTTCAACCTAAACCATTTCACCATTTTTATTTCAATTCCCTTCCGAGCCGAGTCACGACTGGAGCTTGACCCTCTACTGCCTGAACTCCCTAAAAAGTTTGCAAAAAAATATTCCCGTTGCAAAAATGGCATGCAAAGAGATCATAATGTACTGTGGTAGTTTTATTTTCTGAAAAAATACATTTGGGGTAATGTGTACAAAAAGGTCTAGAAAAAAAACGTGATCAAATTTGATACACTAGATAAAAGTGAATTCAGCTTTTGATTTTAGAAAAAGGTTTTGATGAATTCAAACAGTGCTGTTTCGCAAATGATACAAGTGAATTTGCCATTCATTTCATTCAAACCTTTTATGGTATGACACAAAGCAATTTCTGTCCTTGTTGAGGTGGGCATGAGACTCCGTGATGAAGAGGAGAAGTTTTTCAGCTAAACCAGAATGTCGAGAGCATCTTTTGAAGAATAATAATAATAATAATAATAATAATAATAATAATAATAATAATAATAATAATAATAATAATAATAATAATAATAATAATAATAATAGATTAATTACTCAACACTGTCGGACCTAAAATTTACCGGCAAGATACTAATTTCAGGAAGGCCATACCTGCCCGTGAGAGACTTCTTGTTTCCCTTGAGGTTTGTTTGTGACATTTGTCTTTCTTCTTTCTTTATTTTGTACAGTTTCTGTAATTTCAAATGCATTTCATTTGTAATGTGACGTTGTTTGAGTGGACAGGGAACAGAGTGAAGACAAAATGCTGTGTTTTTGTTCACAAATCACCCAACATTTTCATCCCCTCGCCGCTCCTCCTCTCACTCTCTCTCTCGCTCTCTCTCTCGCTCTCTCTCCACCAATCCATCCATTCCTGTTCCTTTGTCTGTCATCTCTCTATCTCTCTCCCTCTCCTTCCCCCCCTCTCTCTCTCTCTCTCTTTCTCTCTCTCTCTCACACCCACACACACACACACGCACACACACAAACACACACATATTCCACACACACACACATACACACACACAATTATTAGCTCACTCACCAAAAAGGCATTCATGCAGTTGATAATCGACAAGGAGAACAAAAATTATTCTTGTGCATTTACACAGTGTGCAATCTTATTTAGTACTGCTGTCGTCATTTTATGACTTGGTCACAAAAACAGGTAAAGATTTTGAATTTTCTTTTTATCTTGCTCATGCTATCATGTACGAAATAAATTTAGCACTCTCAGGTTTCAATTATAATGACTTCAGTTTTGTCTTGATTCAGTTTCAGTTTGTTGTCAGTCATCCATTTAGACACTTCAGTAACACTGTGGTTCAAGGAATGGTAAAGAGAAACAATGGTACATACTTACATCAGCCGACTTCTAGAATTGTGTGTCATTTTTAATACATGTATTAGATCTTTTATTTTGTTAGTGATTAGTGATTTTGAACATTTGAACAAAAGACCCAACATAAAAGTAAAGGACTTCATAAAGCCATAATACACACCGATAGTGAGCTGATATGCCATAGATCACAAAAGCAGAACCTCGACCACCCCAGGCATAGGCCAACTAATTTATTTTTGTAAAACAAATCTTTTTTAATCATTTATTGGTTCTACTCATTCCTCCATTAATAAGAGCATCTGTCTATCTACATGTTCTCCTGCTTGTTTCATTGTTTATCTTAAGCGATCTTCGGATACTTACTGTTCAATAAGATTGAATAGCAGCGTTGTAATTTCACCAAAAAATTTGTGTTTCTTTTTATGCCTTAACCCTCTCACCATGGGCAATAATAGTCCCTTGAAAAAAATTGATGTCGGAGACTTCACTTGCTGTGGTTGCGGTTCAGGTTCTGTTTTTAAGGAACTCAACCGTTGCCTCCTCCCATGGCTATATCTTCTCCTCTTATCGCGCCCTCTTTTTGCACCGTGATGCTTTTGAGGTGGTAGAGGCAGATGATGATGTCTCGGATCGAGTTGGTGATGGTGGTGATATAAAAGTTACCACCTCCTCCACTGTCATGCTCAGTGACGGATCCATAAATGTATTGCTGCCGTCCTCTTGCTCTTCACCTTCCCCTCTGGGTTTGTTCCAGGTTTTTATCCTCTGGGGTGTGTCCATAGTTGCCAGCCCTCTGGGGTGTATCCATAGTTGCCAGCCAGTAAAACCCTTACAAAAACTAATAGTTGCCCCACGTTGGGGCATGAGCCACGTGCTGTTTTTAAAACAGTATCTGTTGAAATAACGAGGCTCACTGGCAGACCCACTAGGCTGATTCTTCAATGTTGCCAAACTGTTGCTGAATTATCCTTTGAGATTTTGCCATCACCGCTTGACAGTCATTTTTCCCCAATTATTGCATCGTGTATTGTTACATACATTATGGACATCGTTATTTTTCAGATTCTTGGCCACTGGTGAGACATCAAATAATCAAATAGCCTACATTATCAATTCAGAATCGGTGCAAGTACTGTGAGGGACATTGTATGTAACTTGCAAGGTCATCTGGAACGAATTAAAGGTTACCAAACTACCTGAACTCACAACAGCTTCAAAGAAGTGGCCTTGGGTTTCGCACAATATTGGAATTTTCCCCATGTTCTTGGTGCCATAGGGCAAGCACTTCAAAATGGAGGGTCCTCCCAACTCAGGCAGGGCCTACTTTAACTCTACAAACATATATTTTTCATTGTTCTTCAAAGCACAGTCAAATTTCATGGCTGTTGATGTCGGGGACTTCCTTTGCGTGTGTTCTGTCTGGTTTCGTTGGTCACATCACTGTATTTGCAGTGCAGTTACATCTTTCTCCTAACAGCTTTGTTGGCTTCTTATAAAAGGTGTACTTTGAGCTACCTTTCTCATATTTTCTTCCTAAGTATAGACTTCTCCTTTAGCTCTTTTATTTTTGATGACATTTTTCTTCCTATAGTCTTTATCCGCCTTCCGTTTTTTTTTTTTTTTTTTACCATGGGGTGGTCTCATCTGCCTTTTCTTGAACCGCAGTGTTGTTATGCGTATAAGAGA